ATGTTGAACAGGGATTTACTCTGATAGCAACTTAATGGTTAAGACACAGACCTGTGGGTTAGGAGATGCTAATGCTAATGGTCGTGTGGGATCGGACTTTAAAAAAAAAACTGGATCGGCATTTTCTTATGCCGGCTAATAAGCGATCCGATCCAGATATTGGATTGGGAAAAGCCTACTGTATTGAGCATTTCAGTTTATAAATGTTAATCTGATACACAGAGAGAAGTAGATTTGTTAGGCATTTGCACAGATTTGGTTATGAATCTGTACTTTTGTGTTTCTGGTTCCTGTTCAGGCTCAGAAGAGCTTTCATTCATTTACTTCATAATTAAAGTTTTCATTCAGTAAATGTTTTCATCCAATTCTCCAACAGAACCAAAGGTACAAGAACTCAGGATGGTTCTTCTTGGAAAAACTGGAACCGGAAAGAGTGCAGCAGGAAACACCATCCTAGGGCAGAGACGTTTTGAATCAAAGCCTTCTGTTAGTGGAGTGACGGAAAAGTGTCAGAAGGGAACTCGAGTGTTTGGTGGTAAAATGCTGGATGTTGTTGATACTCCAGGGCTGTTTGACCCCCAGAAAAGCAATGAAGAGCTGGTGATAGAGATAGCTGAGTGTATTTGTCTTGCGGATCCTGGTCCTCATGTGTTCCTGGTTGTGATCCAACCGACAGGGTTCACAAAAGATGAAGAAAAAATATTCAAAATCATCCAGGAAACGTTTGGAGAAGAAGTAGCACGTTACACAATGGTGTTGTTCGCCCATGGAGACGACCTGAAGGAGGACGATGTCTCCATAGAAGAAATAATAGGTCAGAGTCCAGCTCTGACTGAGTTTGTCCGTCAGTGCCATGGAGGTTATCACGTGTTTGACAATAGGGATCGTGATGAGTCTCAGGTCCACGAGCTGCTGGATAAGATCAGCAAAATGGTTCAGAAGAACGAAGGAAAATTCTACACCAAAGAGATGCTCAGAAAAGCTCAGGATAAAAAGAGAGGAGAAGAGAAATATAGAACCATTTTTATTACTGCTCTTGGAGTTGCTGCTTTTACAGCTATATTGAGGCTATTTAAATAGATAGCATGAATCATTCAGTGATTATCTCCTTTATACATTAACTTCAATAAATTTAAAGGCTCATTAAATGGAAAAATCTGGATGTGAATCATATTAACACATATTAACATATTCACTGCTTAGGAGTGTCAGTTCTGTAATTGGGCTGAGATTGTCTCTGTTTGCTGTTACGAATCATTAACCAAACTGTTAGAAATCGGGGTTCTTTTCTTTTGCCGTCGGAGATCTTTGGTGTGAAGAGCCAAACATCAGCTTTTCTGTATCTGAATAACAGATCTGAAATAAATCTACAAGCCCAGCCTGTCTCTGGACAGGGTGACTCAGGGGTCCGGGGTCTTTCTATGAGGGTTTATGGAGGTATTCAACAGGTCTGTTACTGGTTATGTTCTTACAGGGTGATCAATCAGATCTGCAACTGGTAAGGTTGTATTTATAGATGGATGAAGGCTGAGTGAAAAGACCAGAAGAAGAACAGGCTGGGGATGAAGGAATAAAATTAGGAGATGTTTTAGGTGTCTTTCAGACCAACATCTGTAAAGTATGAACAGTTAAAATGTAAAACCTGACTTCTGATTCTGTGAGTGACTGCTCATTAAACATCTGATGAACATGCTTGTCGGTCTTTTGATTCTCAGTAAACTCACCCTCACTAATCCATTGTCAAACCATGCTGTAGCTCCATGTTCCACTGTAAGGCAACACAAGGATAATCTAATCTGTATGGACCACCTCATGCACAACACAATTCAAAGAGCTTTACATATAAGATTACAAAAGAAATATGCATCCAAAAGTGAGATTTTAGAAGCAGAAATGAAGAAAAGTGAGAACCAACAAGTTCCTCCTGGATTCTCCAACGCATCTGAGCCTCGAACCAAGCAAAGAAGATCCACTAAGACCCTCATTTCCAGACTCTCCCGTCCTCCTAAAGCACAGGGGTCTAACTCCAGCCTTCAGGGCCTCCCTCCTGCAGACTTTAGAGGTTTCTTTGCTTCAACACAGCTGATTCTCATCAGCACCACTAGAGTTTAACAATGTCTGAAAGAGATCCGGGTTAAACTTGTGCTTTAGGAGGACAGGGACAATTTGCCTTTTTTACTTTAATCTGCTAAAATTGGTTTACCTAGTCTGATGCAGCACCCATTTTCTCTTACTGGAAAACAGGTGAGCTCATATCTGTGTTTAGAAATGAACATATGAAATAAAACAATGAGAGAATACACCACATTCAGAGCAGATAAACATGCAGACCTGTATTTTCCATCAATGTGGGTTTATTTTTTATCGTAACATCTGATCCGTTGTATTAGTTTCTCCCACTCTGACACTGTTATTAGCACATTATGTCACAGAAAGACGGTTCTGCAAACCTGCAAGTCTCTGAAAACATCAGTCTCAGGAATCCTGCACAGCTGCTGGCAAAGGCTGCTGGGAGATGCAGTTTCACACAAACTAGCTCAACTATATGGGGGAGGAGTTCAGAACACTGTCAAGAGGATTAAATAAGAGTTCATCTGAGAATAAGATAAACACACTGAAACTTTAGAAACAATTAAAATGGTCAGGGTGAAAATGCACCATCAGCAGCTGGTGGTGAACTTAATGCTTGAAATGGATCCATTTAAAGAGAATCAGGTGAGTTTGAGCAGAAAAACATCTAAAATCTGCAGGACAGCAGCCAAAAAGGGAACTTTAAGATACTTAATTATTGCGGCTAGTTCAGCCGAAGGTGAACGTACAGGAACTGAAGATTTCTGGATAATTTTTGATGAGTAAGCATTTCTTACCAGCTTTAAAATGATACTTCAGACTGAACAAAAACAGAATAGAAACAGAATGACATTATGTAGCTTAACTAAATAATTCATGTATATCCTATAGCTGTTTATAGCTTTACAAGAATTTATTTTGAGTTGAAATTACATAAAATCTGTAATAAAAAAAGGCATTGTTAAAAAGGTCTGAAAAGTGATTGTTTTTGGTGTTTTATCATTGTTCTGGCAGTACTCGTGGCTCTTTCATTTGATTGGTTTAAAGTCCGGTGGCTCCGGCCAATCCGGTGACAGTCTCCGGGCTGCTGGGCAGGACTCACGGCAGCCGTTGGAGGCAGATCCAGCTGTCATCAGCACGGTTAAGACACAGAAGACCGCAAAACGCCGATAATTTAATGGTTTACGAATATTTAGCTGATGTGTGGAGCTGCTGTAACCTATCAGAAGGTATGTACTGGTAAATTAAATTTATTTTGGCAAAGTGTTACGATCTCTAACCGGGTTGGTATGCTAACCGTTTATCGATTAGCCGTTAGCGGTTAGTCGTTCTTTGCTTCAGTACTCGGTATTTATGTATTAAAAAATGCTGGTTTGTTCTGAGTAGATATGAAACGACTAATGGGTATGTATTCAGCTGGTTTATTTAATTCACGATGAACAGACAAATGTAGTGGCGCTACGGTGAAAAAGACGAAGTATTTAAGTTTCCCGCCTCTAACGTAACCTACGCCTTTTAGGACCCGGGGAGCTGTTGCCATGCCGACCGCCTTCCGTCACTCCTCTGCTTCCCCTTTGCAGTTTGGGATCCGTGAGTACTGGTTAAATCTGCAGTGCCTTTTAGTTTGATGCTTGTGTAGCAGCCATTTATTTGACCCTCTAAACATGACATCTCTCGTGGCTGCACAGATCATGATTATATGATACAGCGTCAAAGACCAATTGTAGATGTTTACAAGATCTGAAAACTAAAGTTTAACATGATGTTTATTATTTGATCAGAATGATTCAGAAAAGCAAACAGAGACAATCTGACCCCAATAAGAAAAAAATCATACCAAACAGTGTTGGTATGATTCACATCCAGATATTTCAGTTTAATGAACCTTTAATTAATTGAAGTTAATGTATAACAGAAATAATCATTGAATGATGCATGCGCGCCTTAGTAACGTAGAAGCTAAAACAGAAACTCCAGTAATAGCTGCAACAGCAGCTCCCACTCCAGAAGCAGCTTCATCAACAGCAACTGGAACAATGCCTCCAGCACGTCTCAGATATTCTCTAATGAATGAGTTCCCCGTCTCTGTTTGTCTTCTTGCTTCTTCAGGATCCATGTCTGGGTTTTCTCTCAGAAGTCGTTGTTCTTCTCTCTTTGCTCTCTGAGCTGCTTCGAACATCTCGTTGGTGTAGAACGTTCCTCCGTTCCTCTGAACCATTCTGTTGATCTTATCCAGCAGCTCGTGGACCTGAGACTCATCAGGATCCCTATTGTCAAACACGTGATAACCTCCACGACACTGAAGGACAAACTGAGTCAGAGCTTTATTCTGACCTATTATTTCATCTATGGAGATGTTGTCCTCCTTCAAGTCGTCTCCATGGGTGAACAACACTATTGTGTAATTTGCTGCTTCTTCTACAAACATTTTCTGGATGATTTTCAATGATTCTTGTTCTTCTTTTTTGAACCTGGTCGGTTGGATCACAACCAGGAACGCATGAGGACCAGGAGCCGCAAGAGAAATACACTTAGCTATCTCTTTCACCAGCACCTCATTGCTTGTTATGGGATTGAACAGCCCTGGAGTATCAATAACATCCAGTATTTTACCACCAAATTCTCGAGTTTCCTTCTGACAATTTGCCGTCACTCCACTAACAGATGGCTTTGATTCAAAACGTCTTTCCCCTAGGATGGTGTTTCCTGCTGAACTCTTTCCAGTTCCAGTTTTTCCAACAAGAACCAGCCTGAGTTCTGGTTCCATTGGTTCTGTTGGAGAGTTGGAGGAAAACATTTACTAAAGGAATACTTTAATGATGAAGGAGTTTATGACTTTAGTAGCGGTTTTCTTTTAGATTCATTATATAATTTATGCACTGATCAGATATTTGCTATTTTTACCATGAATGCATACAGGCGCTGAAATAACTACTCTTGCTTTGCATATTACAGCTGTTTTTTATTTTTATTTAATTTTTTTTATTCTATCAAACTACAAACGTATGAAGCAAAAACAAACAGTGAATGAAAGGATTCATTTTTATTACAAAATCACTTTTTGATGAAGTAGAAAATAAGGGTAGTTGTTAAATGTCCTCAGCTACATGTGATTTAGTACTTTGATTTCCTAATAATGTAAAATACTACTCGGCTGAGTAAAGATGTAAATCATTTTCTGAAAAATTCTTTTTTTTTTCTCGGGCTGAAACCAGCTCCTCACTGAGTTTTGTAGATGCTCTTTTTCACTCAGGAATTTAAAATAAAACCATGCTGGTCTGCACACAGTAAACCTGAGTGCAGCTTTAACTACACAAAGCTGAGGAATTGATATGATTCAGAGATATTGATCAAACTTTTAGCCATCTGATGTTAATGAAACCACTCTGAACTGTCTCAGTAATCGCTGTAATGAGAGAGGACTTTGTGGGGACTTTTCTACCGTGATGTTTGCTCCCAGAAACAGAAATCAGGGGTTTATCTGTAACATACCTCCAGTGTAACAATCATACCCCTCTCTGTGTATCAGATTAACATTTATAAACAGAAATGCTTAGTGCTGTCTAACCTAATGTTGCTTATTCTGTTTAAATAATAACGACTGATTTCACTGGAAGTCAGATTATGAACAGAAGAACAGAGTCCCATCATTCCTGTTTAGTTTGGACAGAAAAAAAAACAAAAAAAACAATGCTGTTGATGTCAGAGAGCAGAGCTGGGTAGACGTGCCCGTTCACATTCTTTAATTGTCTAAAACACACCCTGCTTTACAATGCAGATACATTCATGTCAGTTTGTTGGCAAAGAGATTCTGAGTTATTTTCTTCTCTCTAAAGCTGCCGCTCAGAAATATGTTTCATCTGATTTCTGTTTTTACCGTCTGGTGGTTAGACGTTGGACAAATTTAATCTGAACAGTTAAAACACGATGTGCTTTTGTTTCCACAGCAGCTGTAATGAAATAATTCATAGACCAGTTTAGCTCAGAATTGGATAATTAAGGAAATATGGAAACCA